AGAGCAATGTGCAGTTTATGGTTTTGAACACATGTGCTTAGTGAAATGATTTTGCATCTTTGTGTATTTCTTGGATCCAAAATTTGATGCGGGATAGGATCTAGTTTGTACCACAACTACAAGCTCTGCACATGGCTTCTTCACTTTTTAATGTTCTTTTTGTGTCCACAATTTTCCGTTTTGGAGTATATCATATTTTCCACTTGTTTGTACTTTTGCTCATCTCTAAAAATATCTCTGTTTCAATGATTTAATACAAATAAAAGAACACAACATTGATATTGCTATTTCATGTTTACAGTGGAAGGGAAATATTTATTGTTAACATACATTTTGATTTATAGGATCTGAAGAGGATTCTTAGCGAGAATTTCCATCATGATCATGAAGGAGAAGTGTGTCACCTCTTGCATTCCCAAGTATGATTCCATCAACTGGACCAACCTTCTCTATCATTTCCTTGTCAACGATAAAGGCCGGGTTCTCCCTAAAGAATGCCTCCGCGATCACTTTTGAGCTCTATAGTGACGTTATGTCCGGAGACACACTCACATGGTCCAACCTTGTCATTGGACAAGCGACATCGAAGCGTTGCACAATGCACTTTGGCCTCGGAATGCCATTGTGAGAGGTCGCAGCAGCTGAAGGAGTCGGTGTCGGCGCCTCAGAGCTCAGCCTTTTCCCGCGGGCCTCGGTGAAAGGGGGTGTCGGACCCACCTGTGTAGCAGTAGGGGGAGTCGGCGTTGGCACCTCAGAGCTTGGCGCCTTCCCGAGGTGTCGGACCCACCTGCGTGAAACACAAAAATTTCACTAAGTCAAAAATAGTGCACAACACAAAAAGACACACTACATGGTAGATACACAAACCTGTGTCTCACGGGTGACCTCTTCCACGACCACCCTAGGCGACCCCTCAGGCGGAGGAGTCCCGGTGAGATCGTCCGGGTTGGCGTCAGCGACCCTCGAGGTCACCTCTTCAAAATCGCAAGGGGCCGAGGTCTCTCTGACCGTCTTCTCTCCCCTCTTCCTCTTTCGGCGAGTCTCTAGGGGAGCAACCTCCTCCTCGCCGGGCTCGGGAACCTCGAGCTCCTCCGTGTTGTAACGAGCCTTCAGCTCGCGCCATTTGCTTTTTCCCATTATACCTGCAAACACAAAGAGCCCAACAAATAAGAAGAAGAAAAAAGACAGAGAATCTAACAACTAAGAACGACGAGGTACTCACTCTCCAAACCCCTCTCCTTATTCGCCAAGTTAGCAAGCGAGAGGACAAGCTTGCAATCCAAGGGACAAGGAAGCGCGGCCAGGTCGGCGATGGCAATAGTATTAGAATCCGACAACTGAAGGCTACTCGACCATTAAACTTGATCGGATTCTGCTGCCAGAAGAGGGGAAACCTCGGCAACCCACCGAAGTGGAAGACTTTGTCGACTAGCGGATCGGCCTCAGCAAGCCGAACTCGAAAGAAATCTTTCTTGAAGCTCTTATACAATTGGAATAAAGCTGGAACAACCCCCCAGCCTTACTCCCACTCAGAGACACCCAACCCAGGGGAGGTTCACCCAATTTAAGCTGGCAAAAATGAAGAAAAATGGGCAGCGACACCCCTACCCCCAAGGCCGAGCACAAGACTTGAAAAGCCCTCAAAAAACCCCAACTGTTGGGGTGCAGTTGGCAGGAGGGCACATTGACAAAGTTCAAAAAATCACACTCAAACTGTGTGAAGGGTAAACACACACCCAGGTCTCAGAAAAAGCATTGCTACATATAGAAGAAGGGGGTATTCGGAGTACCCACCATGTACACACGCTCACCGGGTTGGCAAGGCTCAACTCGGATGAGCTTAGAAATGGACGACTGACAGATCCTGTGCGATTTCCACATCGCATTCACTTCAAGGAACGATTTGAACATGCTCTCAAACTCTCCGGTGTCCCCTCTAACCCACTCATACCCAGGGACGAAGATGGCGGGGTGCGAGTCTTTGGGATTGTTACACCCCCCCCCCTCTTACCCTTAGGCTCACCACCAGCGGTGGCCGTTTTCGCCTTATCCTTCCCCTTGGCCTGCACAGCGGCGGCCTTAGGAGGAATAGAACCTTGACTACCTTCATCGGCCATTCTCTTAGTAAGACCAAATGAAGAAATAGGAAACAGGTAGAGAGAAAAAATGGAGAAGAAGGCAGAGTAGGAGAAGTACCTGGTACTCCTTTGACAGTGATAGGACAATGGCGAAGAACGGTGACCTGATTGCCGGAAACAGCAATGATAAAGTAGAACGAAGACAATGAGGGTAGAAGACGAAGAGAAGGGTGTGGCGAAAACTCTGGTGTGCAAGGGAAGCCAAAGAAGTGCAAGCGCAAAGTGCACGAGGGAGAGAGAGGCAAAGTATTTTGAATGAAACGCGGAAAATGACAAAACTGACAAGGCATTAAATGAAGCCCATAATGACGGGTACACCCCATCATTGCAAAACCGTCACCCCCCATTAACACGCCGCCCACGCGTTTTGGGAAGCGAGGCGGAACTTTTGACACATGGCGTGTCGCCAAAGGAGCATAAGCGAAGAGTCGTGACCCTTCACTAAACTCGGCATTAACTCTTCTACCCACGCTCTTTGGAGCTTGGGGGCTAGTGTACTATCCGTATCACGGAACCAAGCTCAAGCTCGATATTGAAGCGCTAGACAATATCGGACGAGCATTACAAGACATCGGCCAGAACAAGGGCCCACTATCTAAATGGATCATAACCGACTTCAGGCCCAAGGCCCAGATAAACCCTAATTCATACCAAGGTACATGCATTATAGATATGAGACCCATACACCCACATATACTAATTTTAGCATCGGAGTCTCTTTTGCAGGTGCCACCCCCACTTTGGAACAGCCGACGTACCCAGCGAAGAAGACTCACCAATCTTGTCCAGCAGATCGTCCCTGATCACAACCGATCTCCGATAAGAACAACTATCCAACTTGAAATAGCAAGCAGCACCGGGTTTCATAATAACATGATGATTTTAGCATTAATCTAACTAACTAACCCCTTAACTATTAGGAATTTAAATATGAATTGAAAAAGTGAGTATTACATGAAGAAAAATAGGAAAAGATGAGCATAAAGGGCGAAACACAAGTCAAATACTATATTGATAAAAGCAAGTAGGGTATGTTATTAATGTTATACCTGATTCGGGTTGAAGAAGTAGAAGGAAGATAGCTGTAAAAAAAATAAAAAATAAAAAATAATAAAAAGGTTGAATATGTAGTACCGCGAGAAGTGGGCGAGGATAATCCGCTACAAATTACAGTAGCAACTACATTATCAACAAAGGATGTAGCTTCAGCCAAAAAATCAAAATCAAACCCAAATCAAAAGTGAATTACTTTACTTGGCTTCACCAGAATGTTACAAAAAAGTGAAACAAACCTTAATCAGAGATTCAAGCTCCGTGTAGGGACTCCAATTTGATCGTTCGCGAGTGGTACAAAAGCTTAATTCATAATTTCAAAAGATAAAGTAACAATCCAAAAAGAAAACAACAAGATTTTGGAAGCTCTAGCAGAATCATAGATTAGAATTCTAAAGTTCAAAATCGAAAGAGAACAAAGATGATGCTTACGATTAAAAGAAAACAATGAGGTTTCAAGGTTGTATCCAAAGTTGGTGCGCACTTTATTTGTAGATCAATGATGATGCTTCGAGAGTCGAGGGTTCTTCGAGGGAAAGGGTTGCTTCGAGAGTCAAGGGTTCTTCGGGGAAAGGCTCGCGCATGCATGTGAGCAAACAAATGCTTCCAATATTACATTGGTCACCGAGTGAACCGATATAGATCTCTTTACGTTTTAGAGTTATTTACAAAAAATACCACAGTGTTTTGAATATTATATCAGTCCCACTCAAAACTGATGTAGAACATTGAATATTTACATCAGTCCGACGTAAAACCGATGTAAATATGCTTTATATTATACTCTTAATTACAAAAATGTCACTGCGTTTGATTTCTACATCGTTTTTACTAAAATTGATGTAGAATTAGCAACGTGGAACAATAACTTTCTAGTAGTTATTGTTGTGTGTGTGCATGTATTGTGTATTATATATATATACATGACTTACTAGTTTTCTTCTCCTTACATATAACTACATACATGAAATTTAACTCTTGTTACATGATATCCTTAGTGTACCTGCATGAGAGTACATCGGTAATTTTGCATGTCACTCCTATCTTCCTTCTTCTCTATCCTCATCTTAATAGTATATACTTGTTCTTTGCAATACACTTGATATTTTTTTGTTATACTTGTCTGAATGAGATAAAGGGGTACCTGCAAAAGACACTTTAACGCTCAAGTTAATCTTTGAGATTAGACAAATCAATGGTAGTTAATTTTGGTAATAATGCAAAAGTAACTTGTTCAATTTGTAATAATTATTTAGGTCTAGGTTGATTAACGCCAATAACACTTGAGGTAGCCCCTCAAATTATGTCAACCGTTGAAGATATTGAGGGAGTCTTCGATTTTTCTCTTGTACCTTTCCTGTGAAATGCGTCGAGAAGTCCTCAACTTTTTCCTTATACTTCTTCAATATGTTTAGATTAATTATATATAGTTTCTTTATTTTTTCGTTGCTTAATTACTTATTCATAATAAATATAATGACTTAAGATTGTTACAACACTAACATTTTGATAGTAATTATTCAACTCAATTATTAACTAATTTTACTAAATACATCGAAAGTAATTGACAAACTCGTGATTTTTAATTTCTTCGTCATGCCATTTTAGTTCATAAATTCATAAATATAAAAGAAGCATAAAAAAAGGCATCACTTTATTATTAAAATACATAAAATAAAAGATCTGTAGAAAAATAAAATATAATCAAGGAATTAGTTTAATGATTTCATCCATCTTTCTATGCACGATTGAATCATCGCCACGTGTTACTACATATACCTTGAAAGCCGGGACTCTTCCTTTAGCACTGTTCTAAAAAGGTGTATTGATCAAATCAAAGACTTTTCAAGTAAGCTGTTGAGAAACAACCAGGTTTAGAAAGGATTGAATTCAGAAATTTTGATGCGATTGAAGAAGAATTTTACCCGACCAAGGTTAGCATATAGTTTGGTAAGGCAATGCTTAATGCAGAGTTTCCCCCATCACGTTTTGGTACATTGGATTTGGTCAAATATACAGGGAGAGGAAATTGATTGGTCATGTAACCAAAAAAGAGGTATTTTATAATCCAAATTAATCTACCTAGGGTGCAATGAAATGAAGATACATAAGATTATGCTTTCTCGTTGAAATTAGAAAGGTCACAAACAATCCACGTGGGACTAAATTTCCTGCATTGGTGTTTACACGCAAAATGTTAGTGATTTATCAGATCCCCACGTTTCATTCATCCAAATTATTTCATGAAAATGGGGTTGGAATTGCGTTACTCAAATTATATCAGATCGGCTTATTTGGTTTGTAACAGCTCTTTCATAAAGTGTTCAATACAACTTTTTACTAATTACACTGCGTCTGAAATTTTAATTATGAGGTCAAAACTTTACACTCCAAATTAAGTTCAAGCTTAAGTATATGTAAATTTCTTAAATTAATAGCCTTTGACTGAGAACTAATTTTTCTGAGAGATGTGAGCCAATAGGTTTTTAATTAGTCATGTGAACAGAGAAAGATTCTAAAATATTAAATTAACCAAAGGCATTTATTAACTTCTTGGACTTATCACTTATGCTAGCTCCTCGATCGATTTCTTTTTCTTCTTTTTAAAAGGAAAAAAAAAAAACTACGTCTGATATATTTATAGAAAAAATCTTATAAAAATAAAGAGAGAAAATAACATTTAAAGAAAATAAAAATATTAAGAGCTTATATATATTTTACTTATAAAGAAAAGTAACTTTCAAAAAACAATAACTGAGGTAGCATTCGAAAATAAGTTGTAAACCTTAATTTCTATATTTTCTTCTTTTCATCCTGAAATAAACCATAAGGGTACAATTTTTGTTATTAATTATAAAAAGATATTTTAAGTTAAAATTACTGAAGATCTTCTACGTTATCCTTAAAGTTTTATTTTCAATTTTAACTATTAAGTAATTTTTAAGTCATAAAGTAATTAGGCAAACATAACCTAAATCGAATTATAACCTTTTTTGGTGGTCTCTTGATTTTGTAGCAGAAAAACAAGTGTTAGAACAGAAAAATGAAGAAAACCATGGGTAAATGATTGGGAGAAAGGTTATAATAAGTTGGAGAGCTAGCTAGAAAAGTGGGGAGAGGATGAATCAAAGTAAAAATACTAACTTGATATTAATTTTTTTCAAAAAATATACAATAATTTAAATATGTTTTCACAATAAAAAAATATAAGAAACATGTAAAAAATAAATACAATAAATAATGTAATAAAAAAATATTAAAAGTTAATATACATGACATTTTATAAATAATATATATTTAGTTTTTCAAAAAAAAATGTAGTCTACGCGCATGTGTAGTTAGGGTATCTTAAAGTTTACACCATTGATCATTTTAGCACGTCGTCATTATATTCATACATATTTATTATTTCACTTTTTTTTAATAAATTTTCTCTTTATTTTTAGTTATATTGATTATCATATCTAGAAATTTTTTTCATTTATTTTTCTCTTTCTTTTTCATCCATATACTTCATCAATGAAGTTAATATTTTCCTTTTAGCATGCAAATAGAGTATATATAAGTAAAATAGAGTATACGTAAAATCCAGAATATTTATCAAATACAGAATAAATGTTGCTAGCAAAGATCCACCACATCCACGTATGAATTAAACAATGCTAATTCTCCAGGTTGTCCTAATTTATGAGGTGTAACATACACTTATACACATGCAATTAATGCATGTTTGAGAAATTGACACTTCACCACCTTGTCATGAAAAGTCTACTAGTCGGTGAGTGTTATCATTTTCAAACCTACCTACATTTTTCTCTCTTCACCATTAATCTCGATCCTCTTGTCTATAAATATGATAACCATGCCCCAACGGTTTCACTCCTTTTCACCATCAACCTTCAACTTTGTAACCAATTCCAAAAGAAATATAAAACTAGGAGTTTTTGTGCATGAGTTAGTGACACTGCATGTGCTCTGAAATATTATATATCATAGTTTTGGCTTCATATGCTAATTACACAACAGCCACTTATCATACTCAAAGTGTGATACTCCTACCTTTCTTTATGTAACAGTCTAACCCCCTTCATCTCTTGTCTTAATTTATAGTCACTTTTTTCTCCCCAAAATCAAAATACTAATTAACTTGGTCACTTCTCATCTCGATTCATATAAATGGGTGAGGAAGCAAAACAAGTGAGCCTTCATTTTTGGCTTTCTGCTTTCTTAGTGATGTCATTTTTCTTACAAATTATTGAGCTAGAACTCACAACTTTTGTTGTGCTTTTTTCTAAATTTTATTGGTAGGAGCCACCCAAGGGTGAGTCTATGTCAGAGGAAAATCCAGAAGATGAGAAGAAAGAAGAGAAACCAGTAGAGGAGAAGAAAGAACCTAAACCACCATCTCTGTGTGTGTTGTTTGTTGAATTGCACTGTGTAGGATGCGCCAAGAAAATTAAAAGATCTATTATGAAAATGAGAGGTTCTATATTAATATGTCATCTATATATCTCTTTGCTTTTGATTCCACATGTCGTGGATACTTATTCATTTTCATTTCTAACAGGAGTTGAAGGTGTGGTCATTGATATGGCTAAAAACGAAGTGACCATAAAGGGAATAGTGGAGCCTCAAGCAATCTGCAACATAATTACGAAAAAAGCAATGAAAAAAGCCCAAGTTATATCTCCATTGCCAGAAGCAGAAGGAGAACCTATACCAGAAGTTGTTACTTCTCAGGTACCACGAGATTTTTCTTTTACTGGTTACCAAAGAAAAGTAAATATGTATGATATATCTAAAATAGATAACTACATCTGCATAGTTTAATCAATATATTATATGGTAATTGGTTTCTGTTCCAGGCTAGTGAACCAGTTACCGTAGAACTTAACGTAAACATGCATTGTGTGGCGTGTGCTGAACAGCTCAAGAGAAAGATACTCAAAATGAGAGGTACCACTTAAGTATATCTTCTCATTTTTATGTGTTGGCAACATTCCTAGTTGGTTGTAGTTGAAAGGAACTGATTTGGATTCATTTTATTTGAGGAAATTAATATAAACACTTTGAAATTAATTTGATAATTTTGAACAAAACAGGCTAAAAATGGGGAAGAAATTGATGGGTACTTTGTTAAAGATCAATTTAGTGGGTCTAATGCAATTTTTTGATTGTGGCAAACCAAAAAACTCCATTAATCATTTGGGAGTTGCTACGGTACCCTCAAAGATCGAGGGGTTCCAATACATTTTTCTATGTAAACTCATAAAATTTTTTAAAAAAATTAATTTAATTATAAAATGAATAATCTAAATTATATTTATAAAATAAAAAGTAAGATAAAATTATAAAAATTAAAATTATAAGATTTCAATAATATTATAAAATATTAAAAAAAAGAAAAATTAATAAATAGTAAAAATAAAAAATTATTAAAATTACAATATAGAAATTCAAAAATTTATGACAAAAAGACAAAAAAAAAATACTTAAAAAATTATTAAAATTAAAATATAGAAATTCAAAAAATTTAAGTGAAAAAATAAAAATAAACTTAAAAAATTATTAAAATTAAATTATTTAAATATATAATAATATTATTGCAAATAAATTAGAATATATAAAATAAAAAATAAAATAACTAAATAATTTAAAAATTGAAAGAATAAAATATTATAAATATTATTTAAATAAATTATTAAAAATATAAAATATTAAAAACTGTACCGGTACCCTCTCAAATAAGATGGGTACCATAGAATTTCTCTAATCATTTATCTTTCACGTAACCACGTTCATTTTGGGAGATATACACCTATAAAAAAATATTCATCAAAATTTATATGAAAAAAAAAAAACCTTCACAAAAAGGTAAGAGAGAGGCTTAAAGGATGTTGTATTTTAGAAATTATCATGCGGTCTTGAACCATATTTAATCATTATGTGTATAACACGTAATTAAATATTATTAATTTATTTTCAAAAATTAAAAATCTTAATATGTGTTCGATCGATAAAAATTGATCACACTTAAAGTTCGTAATAACATTATACTAAAATTAATTTTTTGTGGTAATTAATTTATTATTTAGCGGCCATATAAATGACCATTATTTTTTTACTAGCATTTAAATAATGGTTAGTGTATCCAGTGTCGCTAATACTATTACCGGCATTTATATAGAATGTCAGTAAAGATCTACTAAATTGTCGAAAAAAACTTTTTTTTTAATGGCAATTCTAATAGCCATTTTAAAAGCTATTAGAAGTTATTTTTTTCAATTGTCTTCCTTTACTTTAAATAATTTATTCTTATAATTTTCTTTTCTAAATTCATAACTTATATACTTTTTTATCTCTACTCGATGATGAGAGTTGTCTTTTATTTATATATTTTTTAATTTATTTTTTTAATTGTCTTGTCTCTTAAGAGATGTGAGATTTATAAGGTGAAAGTTGTTCTCTAATTGTTTTATAGCACTATTAAACTTGGTAACAATGGGTGATTTGATACCAATTTAGAATAGTGAATTAGGAATCAACCTTATAAAATGAACCTGTAAGGTGATAGTTATTACTCACTTATATATTGTTTAATTATCTTATCTCTAATCGATGTGGGACTTAAGTTTTTTCTAATAAATAATTGTCGCTAATAGTAAACTTTAGTGTAATATAAATACATTTTTAGTAGCTATTATATATTAGCCATTAATATTTTTATATATAGCGGCAATTAAATTATTGTCATTAAATAATTATCATTAATAACAAATTTTGTTGTAGTGTAAATATAGTAAACACTACAACAAAATTTATTATTAGCGATAATTATTTAATAGAAATAAATTAATTGTCTTTATTTTATTATTTAATAAAAATATTAATGACTAGTATATAATGGCCACTAAAAATGTATTTGTATTACACCAAAATTTACTATTAGCGACAATTATTTATTGTGAAAAACTTAAGTCTCACGTTGACTAGAAATAAGATAATTAAAGAGTATATAAATGGACGCTAACTCTCACCTTAAAGTTTGTTTTATAGAGTTGAATTAGACCTATAATTTACTATTTTATGTTGGTATCAGATTACTCATCATTACCAAACTCAATAGTCTCTAAACTTGAGGAGATGTATTGAGAAAAATCCAAATTTCACATCGACTATTGATAAAATAATTAATTAGGAGATAAGACAATTACAAAATTAAGGAAATTAAAGAATATATATAAGTAGAAGACAACCATCATCTTACAAGTCTCACATCGACTAGAGATAAGATAATTAAAGAATATTTGTACTCATTTTACAAGTCTCACATCGACTAAAGTAAAAAATGCCTCAAAAAATTATACACATTTTTTGACAATTATAAGAATTTTTAACAGCATTCAAAATAATTAATTGTCGCTAAATGTTTTAGCGACACTACATACACACTACAAGAAATGTTACATATAGTGACATACAAAAAGTGTCACTATAGGTATAATATATGTAGATATATGTCTATTTGACATATAGTTACACACAATTTTAGTGTTGATTTTGAATGAGATTTAACAACATATTTTGTGTGGCATTATAGTCTATACCCACACTTTTTAATAATATGCCAACATATATTGTAGTTATTGTGTGAGTAAAAGTAATTTTTAGTGACATGTATAGTGACACTATAGGGTGTATGTCACTATATGAAAATTTTGTTATAGTAACAATGACTATTGTGGAAATGCCAATAAAATATTTTATAATAATTTTTATTATCACTAAAAGTCATATTAAATGCTACTATAAGTTTATTTTGTTGTAGTGAAAAGAGTTAAATTAGAAGTGAATCCAAATATAATTAAATCATTTAACATATAATAATATTTTTTATAACGACAAACAGATATGTTTTTCATTATTAGTTAAGTTATTGAAAATTAGAAATCAAATAAGTCTCAACGTTTAATCGAACAAACAAGTTAATTTCATTCGTGATATCATTTATTAGTAATTTTTGTTCAAAAGTATGTTACAAAATGTATTGTAAACACTCTTTGTCAACTAAAATTGGTCAAAAAGAATGCATAAGCAACTTTACCTCTCAATAGTCATGACAATCTAACTCGTCCCCATGGGTAACCGCCTGAATCCGTCCTGATTTGGACGGGGAAAACCCGTGTTTATGATCGGGTTCGGGTTCGAATTTTTCCCGATTGATAAAATTGGGGATGGGGCGGGGACGAGAATGTTAATACTCATCCCGCCCTGCCCCCATACTCGTCCCCGCCCCTACCCCGCTTAATAATATAATTAAAAATATTTTTATATATATATAAACCAAAATTAGAAATATTTATATGTAAAAATTTATATTATTTTACTTTTCTTTTATTTTTTTAAAATTGTTCATATTTATTTAAAAGAAAAAAAGAAAAAAAAAGAAGAAAAAAAATAGGAGTGGAGGCGGGGGCGGGGCGGGAAAACTGAACCTCGCCGGGGGTGGGGATGAGGACCTAGATTTTACCCC